AGCAACTAATATATGAAGTTTGGTTTTAAGAGCTGATGTTAAAATTTGATTTGAAATTATCATTTTAGGTATAAAAGTAAGATGCTGCTGACTTGAAGACAGCTTAATCATATTTCAGCCTAGGTGCTAAGAGTTAAGATGTTTATATAAATTATTAGTAGCCATAGTTGTACTAAATTTATTCTTACAAAAACTACAAATTACTATCTTGTTGTCAATAGTTTTTTGTGAAAAATATAGCAAAACAGATGATCTAGGTTTAACTTTTTTTTATTTGAAATAATAGGGATAACAGAAGTAATAGGAATATCAGATATGGTATTACTATTGCTTATAGTAGCAGTGCTTGTAACTGCATTGTCTTAAGATTTAGAAGTGAGAGTATTAGAAATATCAATATTATAAAGATCATTAATATTAGTATTTATTATAACAATAATAATTGTAAGTAAAATTTTAAATAAATATATAATTAGGAATAAATATAAAATTAGACAAATAAATTTTGATCCTTTTATACTTATTAATAATAAATCAAATAGAAATCCATGCTGCGAAATTTTTAGTGCTTAGAATTAGATTTTGAGGCTATGCAGCTATGTGTAAGATTTTATTTTACTTTCTTTTTATGTTTTGAAAAGTTTAATCTTTTTTTTTATATAATTGTACTATTAAAGATAAAGATATATTGGCTAACAATTAAGCTGGCTTAATATTAACTTCTCAAGCCAGTTATTATTAGCTTAAGATAGCTCTGCTCCAAAATTATGATTAAAATTACAAAGCCATAGCTAAAGTTTCAAAGCCATTATTAAAGTTCCAATACTATGATTAAACTGGCTTGATTGTCAGCTCATTATTTTTATTTTTAAATTTAATACTCAAATTATTAATAAATTTTTAGCAACTTTGTTGATATTGTACAAATAGTTAAAAATATATAGAGAGTGTATATTATACTATATGATAACTGGTTAATAGTATGAATAATTTCTGTGAATATGAGAAGATAAATGCTGATGAATTTTTAGCAAACTAGCTAGATGCATTTAATTTTGTAAAGTATTTGTCAAGTAGAATTTCACAATTTTTTTTTTTTTTTAATAAAAATTAGTGAAATTTACAAATAAGGGACTAGAAAGTGAAAATAATTACAAATACAGATCCAAATTAAAAATAATTACATACTATATAAAGGCATAATTTTTAAAAAATATTACATATAAGGGTCCAAATATATTGATAGTGAAAAAATGTAATTGCGGAATTACTGTACCACACAGTACTTGATAGCAAAACACAATTATAAGATTATCAATTGTTTAATTATAGACATTTAAAGCTATCTATATACCGATTATTAGATTAAAGGATAAATGAACCACTTATTATAATCATTTTCATTTAAATAGTATATAAAAAATAGCATTAAACTAATATAATTATTTATAAAGCAAAGAAGTTTCAACAGAGTAGCTCTTTAGAGCTGAATAAACATCTTTTATATTAGTAAACATCATGCTAATTCGCAGTGCATTACTTGACATCATAGTGGTTTGTTATAACAATAAGTAATTTTATCAAAGAAAATAAAATTTATTAATTTTTAAAAAAATTTCTTTTTTTACTAATTTACAATCAATAGCTACATTTTTTATGTGCTTAATAACTATATTTTTCAATGTTTATATTTTTTATACTAATAATGATCAAGTCACAGGCTTGAATAACATCGCAGTTATTTTGGGCCCTTATATGTATATAATATTTTTTTAAAAATTAGGTCCTTATATATAATTATTTTTAATTTGGGTCTGTATTTGTAATTATTTTCACTTTCTAGCCCTTATTTGTAAATTTTCCTAAAAATTAAGTAATTATATATGCAAATAAATAGTGTTAGTTATGACACATTACTGCCTAGTTTATATTTTATTAAACTTTACTCATATTTAATAATATGTTATTTAAGTTGAATTTTTTTTTTGTTTTTTTTAAATGTTAAGGTGACCACTTTAGAGTCTGGCATATTTTATTAAACTTTGGATCGAATGCCAGAGCAGCTACAGGGCTACCCCTAACTTTGTTACATTAACGAAGATACATACTAGCCATATATACAACTTTTGGTTGTCTATTTAAGCAGTTTTGCATATGTAACCCATATGAACTACACTAGATGTCATACCTGTAGCCCACTATTACTTGAGTTACCCAATTAAACCCTCTGATCAACTTAGTGCCATTGGGATATTCTTCCTAAAGAGGAACTGCTGCTAAGCCCCCTAGGACTTTAAAGCGAACACATACTTCCATATAGGGGGGGTCATTTATCTTTGTAGTAAGCCTACTAGAGCGGTCTATGTCCTACACATGTATTACCTAGATTTTCAGTAACTTACACCTAGACCATGGCCAAGTAATTGCGGCTTTTTATCTCCGCTACCATTACCTACTCTGTGCCCTTGCAAAGTTTACTCAAACCCTAGCATCCACTTTATGAACTATCAACAATACTTCAATGTCAACTATTGATGCCCCAAACTTCCAATCCAGATGGCCTGGAAGAGACTAGTAGGCATCTCTTGATATTCCGAATGAATCTTTTTTCCTCTGGCTGATCCAACAGCCTGGTTGGTGTAGTGCTTGCCAAACACTCGGTCCTTGTTCAGTTTGCCTATGGTGTCTGGTTCCCAGATGATAATCCTTTACATAGCGCTATCAAAGATCTGTGCTACCTCTCTACTCGGGACTTCCCAAGCAAGCTTCCATATCCCCGATCCCTTGGATTTATTTGGCTGCTTCACTCGGGTTTCATATAACTCATGCATCACACTACGTTCCACAACCTTCCAATACAAGTTGGTAAGACCAAAGTCACAGGTGCTTACCCGATTGATATGTTATACAGTTTTACCGTAACGCATTTCTGCAAATTCGAATTTCATCGCCAGTGGAATTTAAACTCTTGTCCTGCCGCTTGGGGGTGCGACAACTTACCAACTACACTAAGTTGCCACACCCTTATTTAGGTCGAATCATATAATTCAAGTATTAAAATAGTTACTATTAAATTTTAGCAGCACAGCCTTAATATCAAACCTGATCCGATTACCTATTTAACTGACATTTGGCATATAGTTTAGAAATAGCACGCAATTTACTTTTTTTTTTAGCAGAAGGTTCGCCACTTAATGCTAAAGCTTATACGTACATTACCACGTTACCTGAATTATCAAATAAAATTACAGTATTTTCATCGTTTACTATTGGATTATGGTCATGTGATACAAATTAGTTGGCTCTCGGCTTCATATCGGCTTTAGGGTCTAAAGCTGAGCCGTTTTAGAGCCGATGCCTTATTAGTAAACCCAGAGCCGAGCCGTTAATCGGCTCGGCTTAGCCATTTGGCTTTTGGCTTGACTCAAGCCGTTTGCATCACTAGTTTCACCCTGTCATATTATATTTATTTCCTCTAACGTTTAACTCCCTAACCCTAAATTTTTAATTACACGAACTTGTTTATTTTTATGTTGAGTTCCTTTTTGGGCGGAAGTATTTTCATACAAACAATACATTATTTCGCGTATTTCGCGTGATTGACCGAAAAAGGAAAATTTAATAATAACGTAATAAATAAAAACCGCGAATAATTTTTCATTTTAAAGTTTTATACGATCTTCTTTTTTAAAACCAAGAAATTAATTTTGAAAATTATTTTTTTAGTATTATGTAAGTTATTTATTTCTTACTTAGTAAAGTTTTTAGATTTAATTTACTGCTTTTTACGCTTACGCAGAGGCACACGCTGCGGTCTGAGGTTATATAAATTCACTTAGACTATGGCTATGCGAATACGTATGGCATGATAGAGGCACAGGATGCGTCTATGAAGTTTAGGTGAAGTTATATATACTGTGTTCTACGAATTAGTTTTGCAGTCAGAGGCATAGGATGCGATCTGAGGTTATGTAAATTCACATGAACTATGGCTATGCGGATACGTATGGCATGATAGAGGCACAGGATGCGTCTATGAAGTTTATGTGAAGTTATATATACTGAGCTCTACGAATTTGTTTTGCAGTCAGAGGCACACGCTGCGTCTGTAACCGCGTTTAAAGTAATATTCGAAATTTTCTAACTTTTTAGGCTAACCTTTTTTTTTTTTTTTTTTGGGTTTAGGTATTATTAATTACGCTAACTCAATTTAGAAGCATACGAGTGGCACAATAAGTAGAGAGTCTCGAGTTTAATACGGTGTTTAGTGTAGTCATTTATGCTACTTTTATACTTGTTAGCAAAATCCCAGAGTTTGGAATCTTAGTCGATTTTATTATGTTTAGAACTGGGATTTTGGTGAAATTTTAAAAACTTCAGTTTGGTAATAAATATAGTTACTTCGATATTTTTTATTTGTTAAAGTAATCTTAAAAGAGTTTATTAATTTATTAGTTATAACAAACTTTGTTTTTTTTTCATTTAATTTTTGTAAAAGTTATTGTTCATCCGATTATTTCCAAAAAATAAAACAGAAAATTTTGAAAATATAGTTTATCAAATGTCAGATATAAACATTTCTATACCTATTACAGAAAGGTTGCCGAAATTGTTTATTAATACAATTTACAGAAAATAACTAGATACTGTATGTTACCGAATAGAAGCAACCAAAATGTTGCAAAAAAAATGAGAATTTTTTTTCGAGCCAAAGTGAATCTATTCGAGTCCAATTTTATTAGTATAACATAACAACCTTAGTCAAATTTTTGGCTCCAAAGTCTGAGTGTTGCTTCTAATCGGTAACATACCTAATTATTGCTTACAAATTTTATTATAAGAGCCGATTATCAATTAACAATAGTCTCTTAAAAAGATAGTCAAACAATTAACTTTTGAATAATTCCTGTGGTAGTCAATTGACAATGTATAAATTTTATGAGGGCCATTTGTAGCTTATAAATTGAATTCGCGGATCGATAGATAAACCTAAGTATATTTTATTCTTTTGTAATATTATACAATTCACTTGAAGACATTCCACGTAATTTAAATCCTTTCGAAATTTTATCATCACCCGTTTCCAATTTCTCCAATTCAGCCATTTTCTCTTTAACATTTTCTCGTAATGAAGAAATTCCCGATTCAAGACTTTTTTGATCTATTTTAAAAAAATAAAATGATAAGATCAAAAGTTAATCAAGAAATAAATAATATGAATAATAATACCTTTTTCAATGTAAGTTTTCACACTATCCTTATCCATCTTTATAAAAAATTCACCAAGATTTACCCATACTTTTTTATCGTCTTTTTCTTTTTTCAATTTATTTAATGCTTCTCTATTTGTATTTCGAGTTCTATCATAATCTATAATCTTTTATAGGAAGGAATGATAAGTCTGAAAATAATCAGGCTAGATTAAGAGGTATTCATACCAATTGCTTATTTGTTAATATATCTTCAGCAATACGCTCACGTTCTGCAAGAACTAAATAATACAAAGGCTTAAGTATAAATAAAAAATGAATAAAAGAATATATATATATAATATAAAAGCATACATACTTGGAATGTATTCCATTTTCAGGACTAAGTGTTAATTCGAATTCTACAAATTTGATTAATAGTCAAATTATGGGAAGGCATACATGTGATTGGTTGATCTGCACGTGACAATTGGCCAATATTTTATACGTACGTACGTACGTAACAGGCGCACGATTTGTCACGCAGATCATGGGGGCAAAATTTTTAATATAAAATTTGGGTGATCGACATCCATATGATAGGCCTATTTTTAATAGTAAATTGCAACGGTAGGCCTTTTTCAAAAGCCATTTTCAGGGGTTTCTTAAAAG